TGTCGATACATTCAACGATTTGCCTCGATTTGGCAAATTCTAATTACGGCGTACACGTACACGCGCGCGTACGCTTTCACAAAGCGGGATAATATGTTCGCAGGGAACAAAATCGTTCATGAGAACACTCTATGAATTCGCGAATACTCGGTTGGCTTTGTTCATCTTTCGCACGCTATTTCTCCTGATAATTGAGTGTTGTTTAGCACGCCGCACAATGGAGCATCGTTTGTGTTGAATTCGCCCCCTCGTATTAAAGGCAAGGGTTTTCCGCGGAAAAATATCGATTCGAATTCCCTCCTCCCCCTCCCCTTCGCCGAAATTTCATTCAACAAATCTCATCAAAGTAACTATCTCCGAACTTTGAACGAACTTGAGTCTTAGCGCTAGGATCTCGAACGGTTGCAAATGTTTCTAGGAACACGATTTCATCGGGCTAATGCAATTAGCCGTTTAGAAGAGCGATACTCGCGTATTTTGCGAGCGTTTCCGCTCGAAACGACTTGTATTTCACGGGAATATATTAGCATTTTGCTCGAGCAAAATCGTTATTCGCGCGAATCTTTTTTTGTTTTTCACGATTTTTCTCGATAATCAAAAATTCCGAGCAAAATTAAACTAGATAAAAGAATCGTATAAAAGAAGTCGTAGCTTGCTAAACATGTTCCTTTTCTTTTTTAATTTCTCTTACATTGTTAACTATAAGGATGTTTGTATAATATATAGTCGAGACAAAAAATATCCATTTATTTATCGAGTTACGTTAAATTTAACGGAAGCCCGACTTCGTTTAATCGTTTACAAAATTGAATAATTCGTCCGAACCCTACGTTTTCTTCCCATCAACATTAACATTTATTTCGACCTCCACGACTCTTCAAATACGTCACGAATACGTTAACATCCTGTTACACGAAGAAAGGTTGAAAGGGTACAAGTTTGCAATACTAGTCGCGCGATTACCCCATCGTTTATGCTTTCACGAGACGTCTCGTACCCATTCGTGCTATCGCGAATTTCAAACGCGTGCCGTTTAATACTTGTCGCGTCACGTAATCGAGCGATTATCGCCCATTGGATACTCACTTTATATACATCTTACTTCCCGCGTGGCGCGAATTCGCGCCGAATCGATCGTTGAAAGATCGCGAGGGAAAAAAGAAGCGACGATTCTCCTCGTAAATCCGAGACACCATCGTGGAAACGAGCGTGCGCCGTTTCTCCTCGTTAACGACGCGATAATAATTATTCCACCGGTCCTATCGGTAATTACTCCTACCGGTGGAGGAAAAAAAAAAAAAAAATCATCTGCCCTCCAAATTTCTCAACCCTTCCAAAAACGACATATTCATTTTTTTAATGATTTTCGATAAATTCGTTGGACCAGACCCGAAATAACGATCGAACCCACCTCCTCCACCAATCCATTTGAAATTCATTCTCCCCCCCAGGGACGATGGTGTTTCGCGTCTGGTCGAATCGACCTCGTGACATTGACGGGATTAATTATGAATTTCCGAAAGAAGCTTCCGGCTGAAACCGATTCGAAACGAACGTGATGTATACAGAGGGGGAGGGGACGTTTGATCGCGGTGCATTCGGGTGCAATTCGGACCCCCCTTTCGATCGAAACTCGGTAATATTGCCGATTAAACGTCGTTGCGGAAGTGGATCGAGTTTTCGGGGGTTCCATCCGGAGGGGATGGAAAGCTAGGGATAATTTCAATCCGATTTATGATAGGTACGATATCTTTTCGATAAATTTACATTAGAGGAGACGAGACGAGAGGGGGGTGAGGAGTTCGGTAATTAGACAGGAGGACAGGCGAAAGAAGAAAGATAAGACGTGGAGGACATGTACGTGATAGCATAGAGTGGAATTAATCCACTCTAAGAGGGAAATCAGGACTAACCGGGGATAGACGAGCTAAGGAACGCGCCCCTTCGAGTAAGATTGAGGATTCGTTCTAGGCGTACGCCATAAATGCGTTCGCTTCGCCACTTCTCCCCCTATTAGAAGATCGTTAGAAACACACTACACCGGGAGAGTCGAAGAGTTACAGCGGACGATTATTCGCGATAAATAAATTATCCTCTCGTCTCATCTTCTTTCCTTTCGATCGAAACTCGAGACCCGACGGGGGGAGGGGGGACGAGAGAAAATTAGATACAACGTAGATGGGACGAAATAAAATTATTGGCCGGTCTCTAGACTTTTATATTGGATATAGTTGATCGATATGAGCCGGCCAAAGGGAGACGAGAGGATCCCATCCCCTTAATGAATATCCCTCCGAAAAAAAGGATCGTGTATAAGCATCGACGATCCGCGAAGCCGATCGCAAAAAAGAAAAAAAAGAAGAAGAAAGAAAAGAAAGAAACGAATTTTTATGACGTCGTGAAACAACGCCTCGACGCCTACTCGAGACGAAATACTCGAATGGACGAAACGTAGAGACGAGGCATGCACGTACGTACGTAGGCGCGAGCGGAAAGAGATTCGAAAAAGTTGGCGGATCGCGCGTTCCACGACGCGACGAGGAATACAAAGGGGTCGAAGGGGTTCCGGGAGAGGAGGGAAGGCGGATAGATATAGGCGAGCGGGTCCTGAATGGAAGAGAGAGGAAGATCGCGGAGAGGAGCGGGAGCGCCTGCGCCCTCGGCTATACCGAGTTTCTGCGTACGTTTCCATCAGTCGGGTGTTCAACTCCGGACCGCGAACAACCAGCGATCGGGGGGGGCCCGCGTCGCTTCGTCCGCCGCGCAACACCCTTTCGACCACCGTCGTTTCGAGAGGATCGGGGAAACGCGCACGGTAAATAAAAAGGTTGCACGGTGAAAGTTTCCACCCGCCACTTCTCCCCCTCGCGCTCTTCCACGTTTCCTCCTCTCTCTTCCCTCTACTAATTTTTCCACGGTGTCGATTCGCTAACTTGGGCAAAATTCGAAAGCGATTGAAACTCGGTTCGCTTCGAATCGAGATTCGAGAGATTTGGAATGAAATATCGGAAAGGGCGAGGATCGAGGGGGCCGTCGCTCGTCAAAGGGGGAAAGGATCGAAGGGCGTTGATCGATCACCCGTTAAAGATAAATATCCGTGTACCCCGTTGATAATCGGTCGGCGGAGCTAGCACGAGGATGGCACGCCGATAATTATGAACAGGGTAGCAACTCGTTAGTCGCGGGTGGACGTTAACGGTGGGGGCCTCGTCGCCCGCTTCGACCGCGTTCAATTGTTAATCGGTTTTATGCGCCGTCACACAGTCGAAACGAAAGAATTACGCGATTGCCACGCTGCAATCCGAACCTCCGAACCGATTAGATTCCCATCCCTCCACTCGATAATCCATCGAAAGGGAGACAGGGAGAGCGAAATTGGCGAAATTCGGCCAAACGATTTTTTAAAATACGTTTCCCGATCCTCGTCACGTTCCCGTTCCCCCTCGTCTCGCTCCAAGTAGATCGCAGCGATGCGTGGTTGGAGAGGAAGGATCGTGGACGAAACGATCCGGTGGAGAAGCGGAGAAGCTCGTGGGTGAGAGACGATCGGAGACCGGAGGGGGGAAAGGCGTACCGATTGGACGATAATCCATCGTTCGGTAGCGCGGTCGAATCGGGAGGAGTGTCGTCCCTCCGTAATTAATCGCGAGACTCACGCCGAATTAATTTGGACGGATTTACGATCCCGCGTAAGCTGGTGGAGATAGCGAGCTGGTGGATCATGAAGCATCACCTGTGCGCGCGGATGACCGCGGCGTGGCGGTGGCAAACGAAGAACGCAGCGAGGGACCCCGTTTCGACGCGACGACGCTGAAGATCGGTTCGCGCCATTTCTCTCCATCCACAGTTTTCCTCCTCCTCCAAATTAATCCTCTCGGCGTGCGACGAGTTGCGGTGACCCCGCCGCGGCGTTCGACGACGCCCACCGACGAGAAAATAAAATAAAATAACGGGAAGAAGAGGGACATCCCGTCGTCCCGTGGAGGGCGAGTAATTGCTCGATTGTAATTGGTGGACGGTTAATGTCGTTCCCTAGTTGCTCCCAAACACTCGTTCGCGAATTCCAAGTTTCGAGGAGACACGGGATAGTCCGGATCCGGGATGGGGATCGGCGAGTTAATCCTGGGTAATTGTTGGGAAGAGAGGAAAACTGGTGGTTGAGCGTCGGAGGAAGAGGATTCGACGAGGAGAAACTTTTGAAAAAGCGCATCCCACGGCGGCCTTGTCCCACCACGAGCGAATTAAAAGCAGTCTGCGCGCGGTCTGCGGGGACCGAGTACAAAGACGAAAGGAAAGAAAACGGAAGAGAGAGAGAGAGAGAGAGGAGGAGGAGCAAAGAGGAGGAAAGAAACGAAGGTGGAAAAGGAGGGGCAGATAAACGATCCGTGCAACTTTCTTTCTCGCCAAAGTGTCCGAGCAAAGTCGATTTAAAATGGTGTACGAAAAAGATTAAAGGAGGAAAAGTGCGACGATTTGCGAGTGACGACAGCCAAAAAAAAAAAAAAAAAAGAAAAGAAAATGGATAAACGTACCGAGTATCCCGCGATTAAACAAAAATCGAAGAGGAAAAAGGATTTATGATCCACGACGCATAGGTGAAACGGTGAAACGTAGAATAACAATAATAATAATAATAATAAATCGAGTTTAACGAAATTAAACTGGTGCGGCTAGATAATTGGTGAAGGTTTGGGTCCCGAGGGGAGGGGGGGAAATCGGAAATTTGAAAAAGCCGTGGACGTTCGGTCCGACGGAAGCGAAACAGGAGTGTTGGCTCGCAGGATGAATCGCCGCCGAGGCGATTGATTGGAACGTGGTGGACGTTCTGTGCGCGAGAAACGAGAGAAGAGCAGAGAGAGAGAGAGAGAGAGAGTGGAGGGGAAATGGTGGAAACGGCGGTGTTAGGAGGAATATGGTGCGGGTGAGCCGGTGAGCCGACGGTGATGGCATGAGGACATTAGTAAGGAAGAGGTGCGGGTCTAGCGAGGAGGAGGATGAGGATGGTGGTGGGCGTGATGGTCCTCGGTCAGCTACTGACGAGGATTTTGCTCGCTGCCCATGCGGGAGATCGGCTCGCGGCCGCTCGCAGAATACTCAGGGACGTGCCTTTGATAGACGGGTGAGTGAAACGATATTACTTTCGATATTACCGTCGAAACCATCGATTCGTGTAGCGAGAGAGAGAGAGAGAGAGAGAGAGAGACGAATCGTTAGGGCGTAATTCGATGTCGCGGTGGAACGAGAGCCAAGTGGAATTTAAAACGAGACGTGCACGTAGAGATCCCGTGTAGAAAATCGGAAGGAAACCGGTCCTCTCGTAGCTCGCGCGGTGCTTCAATTTTTGGCCTCGTAAAATTGTTGAAATTTTAATGAATAACTGAAAACTCTGGTGTAATCGTTAACTGGAGGGTCGTTGAGGCGCACGAGAATCGCGAGGCACGGATTTATAGCCGGCGGAGAACAATGTCGTCGTAACGACGCGCATGGATGACATTCCATAGCCGGAGCGTGCCTCTAATTACACCGGAATTAAGCTCGAAAGGAATGTCGTCCGATCGTCGCGATCGAATCCATTGGGAGGAACGCTTTGCTCTACGAAAGCGCAAACTTTCCTCGCGCCTCCGTGAATCGATTCGTGTTTTTCCAATCTTTCCGCCACACATTATTTCCCGCTGTCTTCTTCTTATTCTTCTTGTTTCTTTTCTCTTTCGTTTCTTTTTTTTTTCTGTCTCTCTCTCTCTCTCTCTCCGAATTGACGAACCCCTGAGAACCGTGAAATTGGAAAATATTGCGGGCAAACAGAGTGGCCCTCCAGCGGGTAAACAAAGAAACAAATTGTTTCCCGTCGATGCGACGATGCAAAGTTCGTTACCGTAAAAATTTCAGAAACAAACAAACAAACAAAAGGGGGGAAAGTCCCGCAGCGTCGCAAACCCGACAAAAGAAACGAGACGCGCCCCAGCTTCCCGATACAATCGAGCGCGAGCGCGAAAAACTGAGGTGCTGGAATTCCGCGCAGCAAATGCGGGACACCGCAACGAGGAAATTTCGCGGACGAAGAATAGGAAGAGGGCGGGAGGGGGGGGAAACTAATAAAAGCCAGGAATATGAAAAAAACGGTATCCACCGGTCCAAGTCGGTCCGTCGCAGCTTGAAATCGTTCCTTTCTTCTTCTTCGACGCGGGAAAGAGAGAATGGAGAGAAGACTGGAATGGAAGGAAACTGGAAGGAGTGGAGCGTTTTCTTCCCGAGAGATAATGAGAAAGTTTCGCGAAGGAGAGGGGAGAAGAGGGAGGAAAAGGAGAAGTTAATGAAGAAGGAGGCGGAGGGAAGAAAGGAAAAGAAGGAGGCGAAGAGGCAAGAGGTGGAAGGCGTGAAAGAACTAGGAGCAGGATAGAATTTATCCGGAGAATTTGGTCTTTTCTCTTTCTCGAGTTCTACTTCCAAGTAGATACGAATTTCCGATTCTTCGTGGCGGCTTCCACCTATGGGTCTAATCGCTAGATAGAGAGATAGAGAGAGAGAGAGAGAGGAACCCGTTGTATTTGCGTATGTCGTTGGCACGCGACGGTATCGATGTCTCTCTCGAATCGAAAAACAACAACGGGTCGGTTGCGCTCGTTCTCTCGAGCCGATCGATCTCGTGCGAGTCGAATGCTCGTTCGAGACGAGCAATTACAACGCTCGATAAAAATTCCTCGGACGACTCGCTTTGCATTTAAATAGTAGAAGAAGAGGAGGAGGAGGAGAAGGAGGAGGAGGAAGAAGAAAAAGAAGGATGCGTCCCTTTCGAAGCCACGTCGACTTCCTACACGTATCGCGTAGCTCGAGTCTCGTCGAGGAAAAATAAGCCGGGGAGATGGCGATAAAGACGAGAACGATCCTTTTGTCGGTGCAAATTACGAACGAGCCCTGTCCATCGTGGAGAGCAAGGCGAGCCTTTCACCCCCTGGATCGCGATAGAAATTCGAGGAATCCTTGGAGGGTATCTGTGAAAGGGTAACAGGGAGAAGTGGAGCACGAGCGATTTCGAGCGATTGTCCACGACCCGAAGACGATTCGTTACCGATAACGAGTGAAAGCCTCGTCCAGCCTATTGTGCCCTGTATAATAGTTTGCATTTTTCCTCGGCAACGGGCACAGAAACGGAGAGAGAAAGAAAAAGAGAGAGAGTCGAGAAGAAGGGGTTGCACGACGTAACAATCGCGCGACGCCGCGTTGTTCGTAAAAATGGATGGAACCGTTGGAATTTTCGCGACTGGCCAATTCGTGCATTCGTGGCCGATGCTTCTTGTTCATACGCGAGGAATGTACGCGAGAACAAAGAGCCTGTCCCGCTCGTGTTTCGCTTCATTAAAAAAGGGGGGAAAAAAAAAGGGTGAAAAAAAAATTTGGGAACCGTGACGGCTCATCTCTATGTTTCCGTCTCGTTGTTCGATGAGAAAGAAAGAAAGAGAGAGAGAGAGAGAGAGAGAAAATCCTCTTTTCATCAGCGCGTTATTATTACCACGTTTCCGCGTCAGGTATTCAATTAAAAGGGGGAACAGAAAGCAGCGTGTTCGAATCGGGAGGGAGGAAGGAATCAAGGAAGGGGCGTAAAAAATTCACAGGCGTTGCTTTTCCCGCGGAACGTTGAACGACATTCGACCCGCAATTATTCTTGTTTGCCTCCATACCCATTAAACCGTGAATCGACAACGTTTAACGCGAGCGCAAGTTTTTTTCGTCGAAAAAAACCCGCGTCGAAAATATTCCCGCCAAGCTGAAGCTGATAACACCGGTTGGACACCGGCCTGTAATTGCCCCGTTCAACGACTCCGTTGTGCAGCGTTCATCGCCGTGCGGAAATATTTAATTACCCGGACCGGTTCCACGCCGCTGGACCGCAAAAGTTGGCCCGACCTCGCCTCCCGCTTTGGGGAACCAAGGGGTGCAAATCAGTTACTTCCGTCCATTCCTCTTCCCCAACCCTTTTCCTTCCTATTTTTGGAGGGGGGAGGGAAAAATATTCGCGCGATCGAAGAAGAAAAAACGATCAACGAAGGACCGCGTTTTCCGCGAAAATTGGGATAATTTCAAATAATTTCAACTTTTCCGTCTCCCTCGCGATCGATCCAAGTTTATAATCCCCGTGAAACTTTAACACATCCGGATTCTAATAAACGATTCGGAGTTGAAGGCGATTCCGCGAAGCAACAAGTCTTCCGCCTTGTCGAGTCGAGCGAAGCGAGTTCGACCTGTTTCGTCGTTTTGGTTGGAAATCGCGCGCGTTTTAGGAGGAACACGGGGGAGAAAGAGGACACGAGATAACGCGATCTGAACCGAGTTGTTATTCCTTCCTGATATCGAGCGAGCTTAACGCGTCCACGTATCCGCTCAACGGCGCATAAATATCATAAGCGCAAGTAGCATAGGAGCAAGTAGCGTCCACGATGATGCTTAAAGCTTTGAAGGCGGTAAAGAAGATTTAGACCGCGATGAAGTTGGCCAAGTTCGCGCAAGGGAGGAAAAGGAGAGAAAAGTGGATACGGAAGGAAACGTGTCTGCGCGTCTGAAATATAGATATCCGTGTCATTATCGTTCTCTATTTTCGCGATCTGCAAAGAGATTGATATGCAAAATATTGTTCGGTGATTTCATCAAACCTTGGACGGAAAAGTTCAATTTGAAAATGTGTATAAAGAACGATAAAAAGGATACACAAAGCTCGTTATCGAGCGTTTTTGCGAGGATAACGTTTTTGGTGGGGAGGGTATGATTTGATATTGGTGGGCACGCTCGATGGGATCGTGTTCGAAAATAATGCGGTCTAGAAGAGGCAATGATAACGATTGAGAAAGATTATCGAAGGCGAGGCACGTGAAACCGCTCGACGTACGATTATTACCTCCGATGCTGGGAGAGGAGAACCACTTTTCCTCGATTTCCGGCAAATTTCGTTGAAAATGGCGCGTACGATCGAAAGATTTCTTCTCGAGCCAAGCTGGTTCGCGCGTTCGAGCGTTCGACTTGCGAGATAAAAAAGGGGGGGAAAAGGAAGAACATGCGCGCGCTATAAATCCTTTCATTCCTAGTGGTACTTTATAAAGCGTTCTATTTTCAACGCTTTACCTATCCCTGGATCAAGGAGAGATCGGGAAATGGTTGAATATTCGCCATTTTTTTCCCTACTTTTCTCCAACTAGAGACAATTATTAAGTTTAATTGTGGTCGTGCTATTTTATCTGCTTCGAGAGCCGATGCTTATGCGTGACCCGTGCGAAAATCTCTCCTTTCTATTTCTTCCCCCTCCTCCCCATTCTTTGCAGCATAGTCGAAGAAGGAACGTTCGAGGCTTCGATTTACTTTCGAAGCGCTCTCGATCCATTTCACGAATCATTCGTGTGTCGATTTGAAACGATTTTCCGCCGGAGTATTCTTACGTTCCAGAAATTTTTCGAGAAAAATTAGGAAATAGTTTCCTTTCTTTCTCTCTCTCTCTCCTTTTCGATTCGTTTCGCTCGAATGGCGAAAAGAAAAAAAAAAGAAAAATTAAAATAGATAGCGAAGGGATGGAGGAGGAACACCTTTAGAAAGGCTCGAAAAAGAGTACCGCCTTGGGAACAATGAGACGACGGTATTCGAATTGTTTTTGCAAAGAAGAAAAGTCTGTCTATCGAACGAACCCATCTCGACGAAACCTTCTCCCTTTCGCTCTTCTTCGATTCGAAACAATTCTGGCTTTTTTCTCTTCCCTCCGTCTCGTCCAGAAGAGGAAGAACACATCTCGAGAACAATTTTGTTGACACCGATTGATTAAGATACCGATTGATCGATCCCATTAAGGAAGTAAGAGGAACGATTCGTCGGTTGCACGCGCGAACGAGCGCCTAAATGTACACGAAACGTGGAGCCGGATGGTTTGGAAATTTAGAACAAAGTTATTTAGTTAGCGCATGAATATGTCAGAGCTTTCTGGCATAGGGGATGAAAGTTAGAAATTCCATGAAGTACTTTGCGTATTAACTTTGACGAAACATCACATCATTATATATACGCAACCTCCCTTCAAAAACACGAGTTTAGACGATAATCGTAAACCTACCGCGAATTTGCTTCCCATTTTATACGTACGCGTAA